TTCACCCTTCTAAAAATATGTCCAACTTCTTTGTGCTGTTGCTGCTCATGACATATTACAATTTTGGTTTCATTCAGCCTCCAGAAATTGTATGTCTCACAGACAAATAACATAGGATTCAGTTACAAGGTAAATAACTTACCTAATGCTCTCTTGGAACCTTTTACTGGAAAGCTAGGTCTTAGAACTCAGGTAGCATAGCTATTCCTAAAAGCAATAATTGTGGAGACAGAGGACTTAGTGCTAGTCCTAGTCTAGTCCTCAGAGGACTAGTTTGCATTTATCTATCTGGTCACATTAGGCTCTGAGCTCACTTTGAGTTTGCTACTGAAAATGCATTGTACAGGCCTTGAGGAGTCTTTCATAATCTTGATATGGCATACTGTACCTTGTCTCAGGATGGTTATCATTTGTTTTCAGATGAAAGCCTCCTGGTTCCTAGCTCATAACTTGGTTCAATTTAGAAGGAAGACTAGAAGACTGTTTTTGTTTGCTCTACATTTCAAGAATTCTTTATATTATGAATGCTTTGAAATGGGTCTGCATTACATATATCCTTAATAATAGCTGTGTTAAATCCTTTCCCCTTGTAACCCCTATCCCTCATTATAATAAGAAACATGTGCTTTCTTGAAAGGAGATAAAAAGCATGGCATTTGAAACAGAATAATGCAAGTCATTTAAATTAGCCATGGTAGCAATTCTTCTCTATAACTCTCAAGGCAAAGAAAAGCTCCTTGATCTGCCAAAAGTAAGTGCAATAAATTTAAAATTTATCAAGTCTTTAAGTTTCTGACTTTACACTTAAGTAGAAAAATAGGAACAGAGGCTCATTTTCAGTTATTAAACTCCAACTTGTTCTATGAGAGGTTCCAATTACTAGTCAAATTTATAGACATGATTACTGTGTTTATAAGTCTTTAAATTTATCACTATAAACCATTATAAGCACATGAACTTGGAAAATGGGAAACAGAAAGAAAATGCATCTATAATCATCTATAGTACAGTTGTTATTAAAAAAAATACCATTGTCAATGCAAAAATCACAATTCTCATCTCTGAGGGGATAATAGAGAATTTATTCTGGAGCCAAATATGAATGACCATGGCCCAGGAATACAGATTGAAGTTACCCCCAAATTTCATGTTCCAACTTGGAAGCAGGATCATGACGATTTTATAGTAACAGAACAAAGAAAAGTCATAAATCAAGACAGTTTTCAAACGCACTGGTGGAAACATTAAGTAGGCGGTTATAACAAAGGAGAAATCTCAGCTATAGGCCTTAGCCTGATGACACTCAGCATTTTGGCTGGTGGGAGCTGGTCCTTGTTAGTTAACATATTCCAAAAGGTTTTTGATCTGTTAGTCACAGAAAAAAATGTGGGCAAGGAATGGCTAGTTAGAGAGCATTCAATATTCCAAGATAAACTGTAACTGGGCTTTGGACCTGTAACATTCCAAACGTTCCACAATCACTGAAGTTCTAATCACCTGATCAGCCTTTGCAGAAGGTTCAGTTTCAAGATGCAGTTTTTCTGGGGAAATTTTGTTTACACAATATACTTCCTCATTTTGTTTTCTTGTGAATATGTGGTTTTAAAGCAGGTGTAATCATAACTCTATGAAAATAAGTAACCATCACTTGAATATTTTATATTATTTTGTGCACTGTTAGATAATCATGGTATAACTGTCTCTATATTTTATGTAATATTAATCACCATGCTTTTCATAACTGCATGAATCAAAGTTTTCCTATAACTTTGTGATTGTAGGTTTCTATAATCAAGGACCCTAAAAGCAATCACTGCCCCCTCCCTTGTGTTTTGTGGCTAGTGCAAAATGCATACAACAGCTGCCTGCCACACTCCTGCTCCTTGGTTCTGAATCACAATCTCTCCCTCTTCTATCAGCTCTTCACTTGAAGCTGATACACTTGAGGTTAATCCCAGCACAGCTGTGTCTGGCTGATCTGATTCCCCCCACGTTTCCCACCGAGGTCGGAGGTTGGCTACCTTTCCCACTTTCCTTCTTTCATTCTAAAAATGCAATTTCTTCTTCAGCTAACACTACCTAATTCTTTGACTTAAAACATCTCTGACATTTTATATCCCTAAATTCTATCCTCTGGCCACAATCACTAGCACTTTCTGGTAAGAATCACATTTATTTATTCATTTATTTAATAATTAATTTTTGAGATGGATCTCGCTATGCAGCACTGCCTGCCTGTTTCCCAAATGCTGGATTAAAGGCATGTATCACTATGCCTGGCTTCCATTTATGTGTCTGTGTGTATGTCTATGTACGGGGAATGTGCACAAGAGTGCAGGTGTCCATGGAGTCCAGAAGAGAGTGTTGAGTACCCTGGAGATGGAGCTACCGGCTCTAGTAACAGGCTTCAGTCTTTTGTAAGAGCACAAATGCCCTAACCGCTGAGTCACCTCTCCTGCCCTTCCTCTCTTTCTTGACGAAACCGTTCTTCCTGCTCTTACATCTCTTTCTTCAGATTCTCTGGCTCCCTCTGCCTTACTTCTTGGTTTAACAGAGCCCTACATGCCCGTCCCTTCTTTCAACTTTACTGCTAACAAATATTCTTTGGTTCTTCCTCCACAGCTGATCAACAGAACAGCCCGGATGAATCCGTCACTCTTCTTTTTAGTTACTAGGCTGCTCGCCTTCAGCTGGACGAATGACTGTGCCTCCTGCACAAAACCTCCAGCCTCTAATGAGCCAATATCTTATCTCACCCTTTACTTTGAATACGCCCCAATTGCTTAATTAATTCAGCTCACTTGAATTTTTCCTCAGTGGCTTTTTCAGACTTTTGTTGTCTTTCACAAAACACTATTCCCCTCCCACTCAACTTGTAGATCGCATCAGACAATATTACCTTCTTTCTCTTAGGCACAAAAGAATATCAGAAAATAGTTCCTTTAAGTAATAAGCTGCATGTATAAAAATCTCAGGGCAAATACGAATCTACCAAACCAATCTTAGAGCAGTTTTGAACTTGTATTTTTTCCTATGAAAGTTAGGAGGAAAAATAAGAAACTTAGCACCAACACAAATCTTAATATGATATTTGAAGTCTTGTGCTATGTGTTAAGGCTAGAAACAGGTGAAAAGGAGAGAGGGACAGGAAGATGGGTTTGTCAGTAAGCTGCCTGCACAGTAAAAATGCAGGAGGAAGTGTGCATCTGTAAGCGAAATGCTCAGAAGACAGAGACAGGTAGATCCTGGAGCTCATTGGCCAGGCAGCCTAGCTGAATCAGTGAGCTTCAGGTTCAGAGAAGGATCCTATCTAACAAAAAGGTGGAGCGCAGTTGAGGAAAACGACCAACGTCAGTCTCTGGCCTCTGTATGCAGGTGCACATAAGACATACACGCACATACCCATATACACCTGTACAACGAGAGAGAGAGAGAGAGAGAGAGAGAGAGTTAGAAATAAGTAACAATGCTATTTTAATATTAGAAAAATGTGCTTAGATTACATTCAGGATACAAAATATGAAACTTACTAAACTGACTAGATTTTCAATGCTGTGATCCATGTGTGAAGCAAATACATATGTTGATAGTCTACATCAGCCGAGTTTAACTGTAGCCAGGGTGATCAGATGATTCTATTTGTTATGAAAGGTGATAAAACACAGGAATCCTGTGGAATACTTTGTACCAGACAGTGGACAGCAGTATGGTAATTAAAGTGAATTTTATTTAGTATTTTAGGAAAACGCTTAATATGGATTAGTATTTTAATTTTGAATGCTTAAGAAAAAATGCTTTTTATACTTCATTTTTTAAAACTTGATTGTGTGTGTGTGTGTGTGTGTGTATCACACAGAACATCCCAAACCATCTTATTCAACTGTACACCCACTTCCCAGATGGCACCCTCCCATAGCCTCCCTCCCTCCACTAGACCCCTTACTCTGTTATCCCTGCTACTGTCTGCTGTGATGTTGGCACCCCCAGCCCTTCCACACTACTTGTTCATCTGGTGAATCTAGTCAGTCTTTCCAGAGGTCTTTGTTTTAGGGAGGTCAGCTGTTCCTCACTTAGCAGCAATTGGTTGAAAATATTCCTTTAGATAAGATTGGGGTCTGCTGTTCATTTTCCCAGTTCTATGCTGGGTTACTATCTGGGAGTCCCTTGGGCCACCCTGGCCAACAACTCAAAAGAAGGTATCTCCTATCTGGCATTGTTGCTTGTTACGTAGCCTTTAGCTATACATATGGACTCTTAAAAAATTATATTTGCCCCTTTAATCTTTGGTTATACTTTCCTTTTGGGTGTTTAAGATCATACAGTTGGCCCAGACGCTTAAGAAAATTTTTATGCCACATTAACAGAGCATAAATCTCTTCTTCACCTGAAAAAAAAAAAGGCTAAATGCTTGCTGAGATTTTTATCATGAAGAATATTTCACTATCACATACCCTACCCACAGACTATCATATTAACCAATATATTTTCAAAAGAAATGCTTTATTTTTAAAATATCATAGATAGTACTTACTTAAAATAGTATTTCATTGAATAAAATTTCATAGTTTTATTAACTAAAAATATGAGTTCAACACTGTTTGGTGTGCAGTTTATTTTGTTTTTTTTTAATATATATATCTGAGTCCTCAAGAACTGAAAAATATTTAACATAATCCTTCCTTTTCATTTTTATTTTCCAAGTTGTGACTTCTTTCATTGTAAAACAAGAAAAACCATGTATATGGTATATTGCTATAGCGCTATTACATTTTGAGAATTGGTTAATACATAAAATTTTCTTATATATTAAGAGATTTGAAAGACTATTCAGGGATTGATTATACAGGTATATGTTCTTCTAAATTTCCATTTATAAAGACTTGGTTTTGTATTTTAATACTGCTATATTTGAGTAGAAAACTTGTCATTGCTGCAATGTTTTCAGTGTAGATCTTCCCGCTTACATCAGACACGTGGGCACTAATGTTGATGTCTCTTAGGTATAGCTTACTTGAATGGAATGTGTAGTGAGAAGAGAAAATGCATCATTGCCGAAGACAATGGCCTGAACCTCGCATTGACAATTGCACACGAAATGGGTCACAAGTAAGTAAAAGCTGCTGCTATGTGCCACGTTACCTGTTTTGCACATGACTTAGTGGTGTGAGGCTACTGAGTTGCACGCATACCTTTTGATTTTTTTCCTTTGGAATTCATGTAAACACAAAGAAAGAAGTAGAGAAAGCTAATTTAAAGCACACTTTGGAATTTGCAACCATTCTAGACAATGGTAAAAATCTCATTATGCTGTTTAAATCCTCATTATGACAATCATTATATGGTGTATGATTGATTTCACTACACACTTCCAGATAATGTAAATGTGGTAATAGCATGAGACTACAAAGCAATATGTGTTTTCTTTTATGTATTATTTTTCTCTTTTACGTGTATGAGTGTATTGCTTGCAGATAGGTCAGTGCATCCATGGAGTACAATACCCGTGGAGGTCAAAAGAAGGCATCAGATCCCCTGGAACTGGAGTTACTGACAGTTGTTAGCCACCAGGTGGGTGCTGTGAATTGAACCTGGGTCTTCTACAAGAGCAGCCAGTGCTCTTAACCTCTGAGCCATCTCTCCAGCCCTGAGCAATATGTTTTCAACAAACATACAAGAAAATCACTTTGGACAAAAGACAATGCTCCAACTTAGAGTAGTATCTGCATTTGTTTTCACTTGGTATAGACTAAAGAAATTAATCTGCATGGTTTGTGTAAAGTACTTAAGAACAATTAAATTAGACACATAATTAGCGTTTAACAAGTAGTGACTCTAGCTTGGGTATTTTCCCAAGAACTATACATATATTCACTTAGTAAAATAGACAGGGACATGATTACTGTCACAAATCTAATTTTACAAAAACAAATAATGCTAATAATTATTAGCAACAGTGGCTTACAAATAGCATTTACAAAATTTTAGGTACCCAGAGTAATCTTCTGATATTATGCTGGTGATGTACCCATTTTATAGGAAAAATAGGTAGCAAAGTAAAGAATTTCCTTTACCATCCCAAAGTTTTACAAATGTAAGTTGTTGGAGCATGTATCTGATCTGAAGTCACTGAACTCTGACACACTCTTCTGAATTAATACAGTAAGTTAGCTGCTGTCCTTGAACCTAAGATTTCCCTTGGTAAACTGAGGTAAAACTTTTGTGATCAGGTGAGTTTAGGATTAATATTACATAAGTCTCTTCCTGTGTTTTGGGGAATGTTATTATAGTAGACATGATGTAGATTGGAAATAGACTTTATTTTGAATGTAGGATTTGCTGTTTTCTGGCCATACCATCAGTAGAAATGACAATGTTTTAACTGAACTCAGATTCAGTGAAGTCTTTCCAAGATTGGTAATCTCTACAAAAGCCCCTTTGATCAAACGTATTTATTTTTTCTTTCAGTGCTCAAAAAACTGAATTATCAACACTTAAAAGTTGAAATTTGATATAAAAGTCCAGATTTGCAGACCTGGCAGTCTTCAACTCACAATACCATACTTGCAAATAGATTGAACGTCTACCTTTTATCCTGGGCCCAACTTTTCTAGCTCATTGTAGGGCACAATACTGTGGCATCATAGACCCATACCACCTCCTTATATTCCTGGGCTCTATAGACAATTGAGCAAAATTCAGTGGGCAGTGAAGTTTAACTGGTAGAAGAAAACATAAAAGTTAAATTTTGTGTACACATGATGCATTCAAGTAAATAGGGGTGATTAAATTATAATTATAAAAGCTAACAAATTATCAAATATTCAATATTCCAACATATGCATAGTTAGTCCAATTCAACAAACAATTAGGACATTACTAATAATGATTTATTTATTTTTTAATTTTTATTTTTAAAATAATATTTGGGACTGGAGAGATGGCTCAGTGGTTAAAAGCACTGACTGGTCTTCCAGAGGACCTGGGTTTGGTTTGCAGCAATCACATGATGCTGAACAACCATTCACACCTCTTGTTCCAGAGGCTCTGACACCATCTTCTGGTCTCCATGGGCATTGTATGCATGGGTGTGCTTGATTACATGCAGGCAAACACTCTTATATGTATATAATAAATTTAAATTTTAAAAATATATTAATTCTTTGAGAAGTTCATACAATGTATTTAGATTCTATTCAGTCCCCTCCCCCATATCCTCTTAGAACCAACCCCACCTCACTCCTGTCCTCTCTTTTTCTTAAGTCAAACAAGTGTAATTTGTGTTGCACAAATACTCAGGTGTGGGAATACATTCCTAAAGAAAACTAATTCTCCCTCTCAGAGTGACTATCAGTTGCCTTAGCTAGGGACAGGGCTTCGTGCCCACCTCCCCCATCCCTGTCTGGCTTGGGCTTGCACAGGTCGTGTATATACTGTCATAAGCACTATGGGTTCATATGTGCAACTGCCCTGTTGTGACTGAAGACACTGTTTTGTTGTAATCATCCACCACCTCTTGCTCTTACCATCTTCCCTCTCATCTGTGACTCTCCCTGATCTTTAGTCAGAGGAGTATGATGCAGATGTCCCCTTTGGAGCTGATCACTCTTGTCCTCTGCATGTTGACCAGTTGTAAAAGAGGGTTCTGTGATGAGGATTGAGCGGTATGCTAATCTAAGGGTATAACAACAAGTTCTTAGGATTTGGTAATTTAATGCTATCTCTGTTTAGCAAAATAGTAGTATTAGTTTCTCCTCTAGAGTCTATGCCCTGTCTACCCACAGATTCTTGGTCTAGTAATGGTGCCAGGTAAGACTTTCATCTTATAGAGCAGGCCTTAAGTCCAATCAGAAAGTGTTTGGTTACTTCCATAACATTCATGCCACTATTGGATTGTATCTTCCCAGGCCAGTCATTATTGTATCTTGAAGGGTTCACAGCTGTGTGAGACTGATGCTTCCTTTTCTCCTTTGTTAGTGTACATAAGACCTCCCGGCACTATGAAAGTTAATGATAAAGGATGAAGCTTCAAGAACAGTGCCAGCTTGATTTCTCCATATTCTATGACTGAAACATAGTATCTGTAGCAACAAGGTCTTACCATTCAGTCTGGATGATAATAAAAGCAGTAGCAAAAGCTAGTAATATTTGGGAGTCTTTGAGACCCCGGTACCCCATCCAACAACTCCAAAAAAGATTACTCATTCCTGCCTCTGAGTTTTTGTTTACTGATCTGTTGTGTCTAGTAGAGGCATTGTGTCACCTTCACAGCCTGAGGCATCACCATCCTTGGTTTTATGTCATACTCCAGATCTATAGTAATAAAAACAGCATAGTTGCCACAAAAATGGCATTTTGATCACCAGAATAGAATTAAATACCCAGATATAGATCCATGTACCTATAGCCACCTGATTTTTTGATGAGGCCCAAAGCATACTTCAGAGAAAGGACAGCATCTTCAACAATTATGATGATCATATGCAGAAGAATGAAACTAGATCCCTATTTCCCATCCTGCACAAAACTCAACTAAAATTAGATCATTCAGCCTACGACCTGATACTGTCAATCTGATAGAGGAGAAAGAAGGGACAGGAAAGGACTTTCTGTACATAAGCCCGATAGTGCAGGTATTCAGACCAACAATTGACAAATGGAACCTAATGTAACTAAAGAGTTGTGTACAGCAAAGGACAACATTATTCCAGTGAGGGGGTAACCTACAAAACAGGAAAAAGAATTCTTTTACCAGCTATAAATCTGACAGAATTTAGTATCTATAATATACAAGGAACTAAAAATTCTGAACACCAAGAAGACAACAACCCCATTAAAAGTGAGGCAAAAAACTAAACAGAGAGTTCTCCAAAGATGTAGAGCCGTGGCTAGAGAGATGTTCATCAGTTAAGAGCACTGGCTACTCTTCCAGAGTACCCAGGCTCGGTTCCTAGCACTCACATAGTGGCTTACAACCATTTGTAACTATTGTTCTAGGAGATCCAACACCATCTTCTGGCCTCTGTGGTCATTGTATACGTACAATACACTTACATGCATGCAGACAAAACACTGATACACATAAAGTAAAAAGACTTAAAAAGAATACAAATGGCTGAGAAAATTTTTTTTAAATTATCAACATCCTGGGGGGTTGAAGAGATGGCTCAGTGTTTATGAGCACTGGTTGCTCTTGCAGAGGACCCGGGTTTGGTTCCCAGCACCTATTTTGCAGCTAACAACTGTCCTAACTCCATTCCAGATCATCTGACCCCCTCTTCTGACCTCTGCAGGCATTGTACAGAATGAGTGAACTGACACACATGCAGGCAATGCACTCATGCATGTAAAATAAGAATAATAAATAATTTTTTAAATTATCAGCATTCCTAACCATTAGAGTAATGCAATTAAAACTACTTTGCGATTTCATCTTATGCAGTCAGAGTGACTAAGCTAGAAAAAGAAAACAAAACAATAGAAAAAGCAAATTCTGGTGTGGATGTGGGAAACGTTGAGGGGCACATTTGCTGGTAGTAGGAGTGCAAGTCATGCAGTCACTATTATCAGTGTGGATGGTCCTAAAAAGCTAGAGCTATGTCTACCTCGTGACCCATCTCTACCACTCCTGGGCATATACCCAAGAGACTCTGTATCCTACGTCAGAGATACCTGCTCATCCATGTTCATTGCTGCTCTATTCATAATAACCAGGAAGTAGAAACAAATAGCCTAGATGTCCATCAAAGGTTGAATGGATAATGAAAATGTGATGCATTCACACAATGCAATATGATCAAGAAAAACAAATTATGTAATTCACAGGTAAATGGATGTAACTGGAGACAGTCATCTTGAGTGTTGTAACTCAGTGCCAGAAAGACTAATGTCACATGTTCTCTCATATGTGGATGCTAGCTTTGACTCTTTAGATATGTGTATTTCATTTGGAAAAATCAATGAGGTCAGGAAACTAGTAAAGGGATATGGGGGAAGGCTTCCAGGATTAAGATGCAGTGATATGAGGTGAGGGGAATAACGAAATGAAGGGTTAAATAGGGTGAGAGATGGGAGGGAAGGGAAAGGGAGTATTGGGAGGGAAAACTGAC